TTGGCTGGTGACTCAGTGACTGAATGTAGCTTGAAATTTAAATTATTGATTGGTTTTCTGGCACGACGCGTTCGCTTGCGTGTAGGCCGATCGATAGCCTACGGTGAGCGCAGCTGCTTGCTGCCTGTATGCTAGCCGTTAGGTCCCTCCCACGGGTGGATGGGGCAGCGTTGGCGCGCCTAGGTACAGGCTTCACGCCGCAATGGCCACTTGCGCCCAATCCTAGCATCACATGACCGGCTGGATCAGAGGGTTGGCTGGTGTGCGTGTGAGAGCAGGAAGAGAGTCAGGCAGGTACTGACACGGCACGTTACCCCATCCCTCATTATAAAAAAAACGGACGCACTTTGAAACTATCAAGACATGCTTGGTCGACTGCCGCCTGGTGGGAAACTCGGTACTCCTCTCGGAACGGAAAGTAAGGCTGCAATAGGACCTTCATAATGTCGAGTCCGTGGCTCTCTCACGCAGGTGGAGGCCGAACGGCATTCAAGTGCACGGACCGGGTCATGCGTGGCACGCACGAACGAGCTGATTGGTCCCTAAACGGGTCACGTGGTGGATGCGCCGAACCAACACGAGGACACGAGCGTTACTCGGGTAGCGCTACCATGACAACTGCCGAATACTGAGGGTGGGGGCATGGTAGCACGCATAGGTGCGGGCTCACGCTATGCTGGTCACCTGCGCCGGATTTCGCCTCCAGTCTTCTTGACCCTGTCTAGACACCCGTCACAAGTGGATTAGGGGTGGAACAATATGGTAGATGCTGCGCAAGTCACCGTCCCTGAACCACCCTAATGGGGAGAACACGGCAGTCATCATTGGAATCAACGGTCCAACTGATATGACCCCCACATTACCAGGCTCGAGGCTTTTATGCGTTAACTTTTATGATTAGACCTTCAGATGTTTTCAAGGAGAGCTCACTTTGAAGGTATCTATATAGGCGAGAAGGTGATTCCCAGGATGCAGGGGGAGAATAAGTTGAAGTGATCGCTGGACCCAAGACTTCATATGGCTGACGTTTCGGATTCTGGTTTGAATTTATCATCAGAGAGACAGAATTATAGTACTCTCGACGGGGCGCGGAGCAAATGGATACGCACGAGACCTCGTCACGCGGTGCATACACAAACGAGACTAAATCACACTGACCATAAACTCTTGTGTGCTTCCGAACGTTAAGAAAATCTCAAAGACTGCCAACTGCCTCCTCGCAAAGCTTTCAGTTGGAGTTGTACACAGACGAGAGCCAGTCAGCAGACGCCAGATAACGATGTCAAAAGACCCACTGTCACGACAAAAACCGTCTGGAGTCGGGTCTCCAGTGAAAATGGCGGTTGGGGAAGGACTTCTCGGCGAATCGTTTCTAAAGTTTCTATAACTCGTTTTGCGACCTGGGATCTAGCGTTGTCTTGTTGCAAAATCACCTTATGAGGCTTCCATAACAGTACGGCCTTTTTGTGTACAGACCTCGACTCAGATTGATTCATCTTGCTTAATATCGTCCAGTAGTAACAGCACCAGATGATTTAATGAACTTTTACTGCACGAAAACCTTTTGGTCTCACGAGTTACACAGCATAATTTTGCTGCTGCATAAAGGTGGATGTTTATGGTTGATGAGGCGTCGTGTTGGAATTAGTACATTTCGGATTATGGTCAGAATTGCTCCCATGGTTCCTCTCGCATCAGGATGCAGAAAAAGTAGCGTCTTCTCACAAAGTAGAAGTGGGCTTGCGCTAACTTCCAGATAGGTTACATATTCAGGCCTAAGCAGATAGTATTACCGACAAAGACAGGGGACACTGGAATGGCCATTTTGGGCTTATTGGCCGTCGTCAGCCAGTCATACCCAGACCCAAGTGGCATTCCACTCGAGCCTCGAACTCGTAACCTTTTTGATTAGAGTCAAACGCCCTAACCTTTGAGCTGCGAGCGCGTTGTCTAGCCGTTTTGGGTCAGGGGATATTAACACTGGTTAATGAACAATCACCTCACTGCTAACGGAACTTATCTGTCCCGCTCTGCCTTGGGTCTCGCCAAAGGCCATGTCAGCTGCAACAATCGGTAGTCTAGGCAGATAGTAATACCGAAAAAGAAAAGGGAGACTGGAAAGACCAAATATTCAAGTGTTTCATCCCTTACACTACCGAAGACCCAAATCCTAAGCGTGACCCTGAACTTACTTGCGACCCTACCTCTTAATCTTAGCCCTCATTTCAAATCTCACCCTAATTTTGTCTATGATTTACCGCAAAGCCACTTGCAGTACGTGTGGTTGCGATCTGATGCAAAAATGAGTGCCTTGAAGGCAATATTTTATTCGGGCTTTCATGCTCTTTTGTTGTCCTTCATTCAAATCATGGCGTACCCAAACTCCCAGTTTTTTGTGCTATTTCCAATGAACGTAAGCGGTTGCCAACAGTAGATCTATTCACCTCGAATACTTCTTAAATTTCTGTAAGCGGTTGACATGGATCGTGCTTAATTAATGTTTTCATTCCTTTAGCTTTGCATTTTCCAGCTGACGTTCCTTATCTTCCTTATCAAAATCACCACGTGTAGAGCGGTCAAACCACTTTGGTGCATGCTTTTTTCGGAACCACCATGTTCAGCTTACGTCTCCTCAAGTGAATAACGACTTTTAACGGCACTTTCTAAACTAAGACACAACAAAATGCTTTCCGCAAATACTTTTTGTTTTCTGAGACAACGTC